CCAAGGAAATTGGGGTTTACTCAAGGTGGATATTGCTCGTGCTGTCCAGCAGTTCTTTATTTAGGTAAGTATGCCAGAGGGGATAAATGACACAACTATTGTTCTTATTCCTAAAGTTAAGAATCCCCTGTCGATAAAAGATTTTGGACCTATTAGCCTATGCAATGTCATATATAAAATTATCTCCAAGTGCCTTGTCAACAGACTGAGACCTCTACTGGATGGTATGATCTCTATTACCCAAAGTGCTTTTATCCCTGGAAGATTAATTTCAGATAATGCTCTTCTCGCCTTTGATTGCATGCACTCGTTGAATACATTGAAAGATTCTCGTGGCGAATACTATGCATATAAGCTGGACCTAGCTAAAGCATATGACCGTGTAGACTGAAAGTTCCTGGAATGTACGCTCCGAGCATATGGTTTTGATCCAATCTGGATTAAATGGATTATGACCTGTGTTGCCTCAATGAAATTCTTTGTGTGTTTTAATGGCCAGTTACTAGAGTCTTTTCATCCTTCACGTGGTGTGAGACAAGGGGATCCATTATCGATGTACTTATTCCTCTTCGTGGCTGAGGTCCTCTCGCTGTTACTCAATGATGCATCGGCAAGAGGGGTTATTCAAGATTTCTGGCTAAACAGACATGCATCAGGTATATCTCATTTATTATTTGTTGATGATAGTCTCCTATTTTTTTAAGGGTTCTCTGGAGAAAGCTTTGGCCATTAAGGATATTTTGATGGCTTATGAGGAGGGTACATGCCAATTATTAAGTCCGGACAAGTGTTCCATTTTATTTGGCAAAAAGTGTTCTATTGAGATATAGGTGTCCATCCTGGTTATCCTTAAAATCACGAGTGATGATTTTGAGGATATATATTTTGGCTTGCCGATTTCAGAAGGTCGTATGAAGGCTCGCAAATTTCAATATACAAAAGATAAAGCTCTTAAGTGGGTTTCAGACTGGATCGAGCACTTTTGGCCAAACATGCTTGACGATTATTGGTTTTTCTGGACTCTTTGTGTCCAAAGGTGATGAAAGCTAAATATTACCCTCATGGGCATCTTATTTATACTGTCTTCCATCAAGCAACATCACTTATTACTTGGTAAGGTATTATGCATGGACTCGAGTTGTTGAAAAGGGGTATCATCTGGAGAGTCGTCGATGGTGTTAGTATAAATATTTGGAGGGATAATTGGCTTCCCAGGGATTCTGGCCTAAAAATCTCTGTTAAGAGGACCAGAACTAGGGTCAAATGGGTGGCTGATTTATTCATGAGTGGCTCAAGGAGATGAGATGAGAATTTGATCAGGCATCTGTTTTACCCCTATGACGCTGAGGAAATTTTAAAATTGCATATTCTGAACTTGGATGAGGGTTATTTCATCGCCTGACACCATGAGAAAAATAGATTATTTTTGATGAAGAGTGCGTATAGGTTTGCCCTCAATATTAAGGACTCGGACATTATAGTGGGGAAGTCCTGTATAGCCATAAATGGGGAAAGGAGGCTATGGGATATTATTTGAAAGGCTAATGTCCCTCAGAAGATTAGAATCTTTGCTTGGAGGGCTGCGCCTAACAGCCTGGCTGTAGAAGTTAAGAGCATCTACAATTGGGCGCCTCAAACCCGCCTCATACGCCCAGGCGGGCTGCCCGGTCACTGTCCGATCATGATTTTTTAACCCAGACAGACCCCTTAAATGGCCCTCAAATGCTCGGGCTGACTGGCACCCCCCATATCCCGCCCAAATATGGGGCGGATATGGGGGTGCCCGGGCACGCCTACCACGTCGGACCCAACCCACGCTGGCCCACCCGACCCCACATAAATTCTGCCCCATCCGCTCGCCGGACCAAACCCTAGCCACTTCACTCCCCTTCCATCCACTCCCCTCTGCCACCCAAGCTCGACTCTGGCTCCTTCCGACCGTCTTCGGCATGGCGGGCAGCGGATCTGAGTCCTTCACCTCCAGATCCGTCGACCCGAGCTCATCCCACGCGGCCCCGAGGAGGATATGGTCGTCCGGCTTGCGCTCGGCCGCACCCGGGAGGAGGCCCGCGTACGGTTATGCTCGGACTCCATCCGTAGGGAATCTATTGCTTCCACCCAAATGGCGCATGGATCCAGTGCTAGGCCAGCCGTAGTTGCCTCGCCGGAGGCCGTGCGGTCCGTCTGGCGTCCTAATGCGCTGGCGGACGCGCAACCCCTCCGTTTGTGTGTCGACATTCGGGACGCATCGTCCCACGAGGCCATGGCACGGTGTGCCCGCCGTGCAAGGCACCGGGCGCGGGAGGCAGCGGCAGCCCTCGCGGCGGCGGGCGTCGACGAGGCGGAGTCGCATTCTCTGGCGCCCCGTATGGGGCATCAGTCTGGGAGGCACAACCGCATCGTGGTGGACGTCGGCGGCTCATCCCCGGACGGATCCGTCATCGATCTGACATCCACCGGCATCCAACGAGTTTCGGGCTTTGACAAGGAAGAGTAGGGCATCAGAGACGGCGACGCATTGAGTCCCATGAGCCAGCTCGTGTCCCATGCCCTACTCTACCTTGCCGGCGACCGGGCCAACATTCTGAGGAGCGCAGTCGGCCACCGGACATGGCCAGGGCGGAGCCGAGCGAGCAGGGAGCGACACCGGGTGAGCTCCGTTTAAATTAGGTTTCACATTGCATGTAATAATATGGATTTGAGATTTCTAAATTGAGGTATCCAAATGTGGAATGCATTTTTTGAGGCGTGTCGGGTCACTATCCGCGGACGCGTCTGCGGGCGTTTGAGGTGTCGAAATTGCCAAGTCCAGCTGTAGGTGCTCTAACAGAGTAAAACAGCACCAAGCTACCCTAGGTACATGTTCAATCTGTGGTGTTGAAGATGAATGTGTTCTTCATGCTTTGGTTTGCTGTCCCAAGGTCTGCGTGCTTCGTATGGGTTTGAGGGAGGTATCAGTTAAGTTCGCATATGCCTGAGCAAACAATATTCATGTTCTGGAGAGCCTGGCATTTGAGGAATGACTTGACCTTTGGTAAAGAAAATGAATCTAGCTCGGTCTCAGTGAGTTTTATTCAATATTACTGTGCATCCTTCTCGTCTTGTCATGCAAACATGAAGGTAGAGGTAAGTAATAAAGGTAAGGGTGCGGTCGATGGATTACAATCCATTAGTAACGTGGAAAGGAATTGTGTTCCTTAGCTGCGTCCCACCTAACGAATTCCTCAAGATTAATGTTGATGTAAGTTTTGTGGAGGCCATTAGCACTGCAAGCGTAGGGGTGGTTCATAATGGAGAAGTTCTTCTTTCCTCGTGGGATTATACTGGTACTTGTTTTAGAGCGGAACTTCGAGCAATCATCTCAGGACTTTATATCGGTATCACTCTTCACAAGCCCATAATTTTGGAAACTGATTGCTCTTTTGTGGCTTTCGTTTTTGCAAATGATAATCTGGACAGATCAAAACTTGTTGATTTGAAGAAGGAAGCATTGAGTGTCTCCAAGATGATGAGTATTTTAAAAATCACCAAGATAAATAGGAAGGCGAATATGGTGGCACATAAGATTGCGAAGTTTAGTTTTATTAATAGGTCTGATGGTATTCTAATTAATAGTGTTCAGTCCTGCGTGGCAAGAGTTGTAACGAATGATTGTATGAACATTCATTTTAATTAATTTATATATGAGTGGGGTTTCCAAAATAATATATTCAGCGAGTCAACTTAAAAGTCCATGGTTTCATTCTGTGATATTTTCTTCTGCATACAGCTGGGAATAAGTGGACACATGTACTATTTCTGTGCTAAAATATAGGACGTTTTTAAGACTAAACTAGCCTACAAAAGCGTCTTATATTTTGATACGGAGGAGGTACTTTTCAACGGGAAAGTGTGAAAGAAATCATGAAAACTGCCAGACAAAAGCTTGTTTGCCTGACTAAAACGTGTTGCAGCACACGTGCACCGAAAATGAGCTGTGACATTTTTTTTTCGCGTACAATAACAAGACATGCAAATATCCATAAACACTAGGAGTACTTGTTTAATTTTAAGAACATAATACAGATCAGAATTTACAGCATAGTAGTAGAACGACAAAATGAACTTCTCCTATTCAGCCGAATAAAAATTTAACAGACCTGTTTAGTCTTTCAGATATATATTCTTAAAAAAGCAAAATAAATTCATCAATTAACCAAACAATAATTATATTCTTGATTGTCCTGTAGTTTTTATTTAATACAGCGTTGCCAGGGTCTTGAACTCAAGATCTCTTTGCTCGGATACCATATTGAACTCATGCATCAGCCAGTTGCTCCAAAAGTCCAAACTGATGGAGAAAGATGGGCAATATATTTTAACACATATAATCATGCAAGTTAGCACCTAGGCATGCCCGCAGGACGGCGCATCATTTTAGCTTCGGGGGTCTTGCCATCCTTTACGATGAACACAGTATCCATCCCCCATACCTGATGACGATCGAAGTGACAGTGCATAAACCACACACCTAGCATAAACCATTCATTTCAATTTCAACTAAGTGACAAGGAGATTCATAACCAAAATTAAGTCTAAAGCACTCACCGGGATTTGTAGCACGGAAGCGAACTGCCGCCCAGCCAGCCTTGGGCACGGAGACGGTGTTCTGGTACGGCGGGTCGATCAAGTTGTATGTGCCCGGATCCTTGTGCATGTCGAAGTTCCCAAACCCTCTTCCCACCACGTAGAAGGCGAACCCGTGCAGGTGCATCGGGTGGGTCTCGGCTCCTAGGATGGCCGTGTCCTGGAAAACCACCTCCACCACGGCTCCGTAGCCCAGCACCTTTACCTTGGTGCCGCGCTTCGTGAACCAGCGCTCCTTTGGGACGTTGTCGTCGGTAAAGTTGAAGAAGAAGGGCGGCTTATCGGGGAAGTCCGCCTCGTACACGCCGCGGACGGAGCCGTAGTAGGCGTCGAGGATGTCCACGGAGGGGGTCTGGAAGCTTACGTTGTTGAGGCTAGCGGCGAAGCGGCTGCCATTGCCAAGGGGGCCATCGCACGTCATGTTGCCCGCGCACGGCGTTGACGGCGATGGTAATGAGCATGTGCTCATCGACATGGGCTGGCACGTCTGCGGGGTGGTCCTTGTTGGCCAATGACCGGAGCTGCTCTGTGTATGTGGTCGCCGCGTCGGTGTCGTTGACGGCTGGAAGGTTGGGGAAGTCCGGCGTGCCCGCGCGAGCGGCACACGGCGCGTCCGTGTACTCCATGATGGCCGTGGCGGTGCTGTTATTGAAGTCGATGCCGGTGTTCGACGCGAACGTCCGTGCCGCCATGTAGTACCGGCAATTGGACGAATCGTTCGTGGCGCGGTCGGCCTCCAGGAGCGCGTCCACGGTCTGGCCCGGCGAGATCATGATATAGTCGACGGTTAACGCCTTGGTGTAGCGCGCGTCTGTGCCAACCACTGTGAGACGGTGCCCTGCGACACCGAAGAAGAGCTCGTTGGCCAATGCCGCGTTGATGATCCGGAGCAGGTACGTCTTGCCACTCTCCACGTGTAGCTTGAAGGTGCCGTTCTTGGAGCACGGGAACAGGTCTCCCGGCTGGCCGTTGATGGTGTTCGCATCAGAAATATTGACCTCGCCACCAGTCCGTTTGGCCTCCTGGAGCAGACGGTTCACATCAACGTTCCACCACTCACCTGCGAATCAACATCTCGCATATTAATACCACATGGTGCACACAACATGATTCATACATCAAACAAGTTCAATAGATATACATACCGAGGATGACGGGTATCTCCTTGTGTGGCTTCTTGAACGGGAAGGTGGTACCCTTCTTGGGGTGGATGACGATGGCGCCATGGACGGTGGTGCGGTCAAAGTCGCTGTGCGCGTGCCACCAGAGCGTGCCCTCTTCTTCGGACAAGATGACCGTGTAGGTGAGGTTGCCGCCGGGCTGGATGGGACACTGCGTTATGTACTCCGGCCCGTCGGACCACGGGTTCCTTGGCTGGTCCACACCATGCCTACACACAAGGAGGTTGCCCATGATCACGTCAGAAGGTTAACCATCTGGGCAGGCAAAGAAGATAAGTTTTGTTACGTGAATGGCGCGGTGGAATCAAACTTACCAGTGGATGGTGATGTTTTTGTTGCCTTGGTTGATGACGTTGACGACGACGATGTCGCCCTTGCGCGCGTAGATGGTCGGACCGGGGAACTGTCCGTTCACGGTGAGCACGGTTTTCTCGTGACACAGCCTTGTGTAGTTAGTCTGTTTTATCTGCAAGAAGAATGCCGTTAGTTCATTTCGTGCATGCAGGTATCGCCGTAGCTATCACTGTAAGGGAAGTTGATTTGGTAAGAACAGTGTAATTTTGACTTTTGAGGTGTTGTTGAAGAACAGAAAGTTAACAGGGTGCCGTGTCATTGGCTCATTGCTGCTCTGGTCACTAGCTAGCTAGTAGCTAGTTCTCATGACTGCGTTTGTGAAACCCATGAAACTTCGTAAGATGCACACTCCCTCCATCCCAAGATAAGTGTCGCTACTTTACTAAGATTGCTAGACGAACATGATTGGCACACTTTTTGTATATATATATATATATATATATATATATATATATATATATATATATATATATATATATATAACGAAAATGGACCCAAGCACATACAACGAAAATGCATCCTACGTGAATGCTTATGGAGTGCAGGACTGCAGGTAGACTTACAACGAAATCGTAGTGGTGGTTCTTGGAGCCCTCGGCCGGGGTGACTGCAGTACCGAGTAACCAAAGCATAGCTACACTGATCGCCATGCCAACGTCGTTACGATTTCGACCGCCTAGCGATTACTGCACGAGGTTAAGGAGCTAGCTATGTATAGGTAACACAGTAGAGTTCGAATCCAAGCAGTACGTGTGTGCGATGGCCGTTGGAGGCAGCCCCACGGGAGTATTTATAGGAGCTAGCGATGAGCCGGTCGAGACGTCGGGCGATGCATGCATGCCTGCCCCAGCTGCATGGCGTTTAATTAGTTTCAGATTATTGATTCCCTTCATACAATTAGTTGGTCGAGTCTTCCACGTTTCATTTTCTTCTGCGATGACAGCGACAACCACAACGTCTGAGTAGCTGGCCCCGGAAGTGGAAGCCTTCGCGGCAACTAAGCTCGGACGAGGGCATTTTAAGCACACTAACTTGAACGGGCTAAGAGTTAGAGCATCCACAGCCGGACCTCTTAAACCCGCCTCATATGTCCGAATGGGCCATCCAGTCACTGTCTGGTCACGAAAATCTGACCCAGACGGATGCTCAAATGGGCCTCAAACGCCAAGGCTGACCGGCACCCCTCATATTCAGCCCAAATATGAGGCGGATATGGGGGCACCCGGGCACGCCCGCCGACCCCGCTGCAAGTCGTAGCGGTCCCACCTGCAGCGATCAAAGCTCCAACCTCTCCCACCTGTAGCGACCGAAACTCCTCCATCTCTCATCGGTGCAACCAAATTTTAGTCCCACGTCACCGGGTGAGGCGGACGCCGCCGGGCTTAAATAGCTGCGCCAGCGGACGGAGGCAAGCTTGGCTGTTGTTGTGTAGGTCTATCAATTCTGGCATGTGTGATCGAGATAAATTTGAAACTAGATTGCATTTCATTGACTGATGATTGTTCATCAAGTGTTACGTTTGTCTCAATCATATACGTTGATACCTCTACTACAATGACAATTGATTTTATTTTATTTTGATGCATAGATACATAGTGATTCAAAAAAAGCCGACACCAATGTTCCCTATGTGAAGGAGATAGACCCTGACTATGATTTTTCTATGTGATAAAGATAGAAGATTCATAGTAAGAGTCAATATCCTTAACAAAGGATGCAATGATGTCAGAGTTTATCCCTTTTGGACGACTCGGATATTTAGCCGGTCGACTAGCTCATCAGTCAAGGAGGTGGGACTAATACGGGCGTGAAAATGTTAAGTATGAGCAATTTTCGGTGCCCAACCAGCCCAAGACGGACAGAATGATCGACATGCATGGTCATGTATGTAATAGATGTTTTTAAATTAGGATGCATGATTGTAAATTGTAAATTTGAGACACGCCCGGATACTGTCCACGGGCGCGTCCGCGGACGTTCGAGGGTCTAAATTTGCAACCTTCGACTGTAGATGCTCTTTAGCACTACCAATGGATGAGAAAAGTCGAGGCTTGAAGCGAGCACATGGGGACCTGATCAAAACCTGTGGGTTCTTTGTCTTTAGAGAAGCCAAGCATACTGTGTAAAAAAAAAACAAGCATTCAACGCCCACGTGAATGCCCTTGCCTTTACTTATGCAAGAAACCAACGGCAAAACCATGCATGCATGTCTGGCCATGAGTTATTTACGCAAAATCATCATATTTGGAGTTAGGGTAACGACTTGTATCAGATTCAAGCGAGGGCTCAAAAAAACTATAGGAATCGCGTCTAATACGTAAGGCGGAGCACTGATGCTCGAATTTGATCCCGAAAGCAACCAAAACCGATAGGTGGAGCCTGCCTATCGTGCTGATGTGGCGACATGTGGCGCGTGACGGTGGTGGGGTACTTCATGAGGGAGGATGCATGTTGTGCTGACACGTGGTTGGCCACAGTTGCGGGGTTTGCAGACATGAAAGAAAAATGGCACCATATTTTGGCAACATGTACATTCTTGGTTTCATGAGCACAAACTAGTCGCCCTAGAATTTGGATGTGATCCATGATCGCAATGCAAAATCGCTACTCCTTTGGTGGTACACCATTTCAAACGACGTCATGAAGCATTGCGCTGTGATTACAGAAGTGGAAAGAATGAGGCCAATGGGCGCGCCAATCATAGAGATCGTAAGTTTTTTGCTTCTTATTGCTCTAGGTGTTGGTCAATTCATTGATTCACTCAATGTTGTAACTTAATGATCACGTCATTGTATAGCCTGGACACGCTGCCGCGATGTACCATAGGATGAAGTGCAAGCCTTTCACATTGATCCATTGTTGGATGAAACTCAAGGGGCATCCCATCTGGGACAACAACTTGTGTTGATGAAGAAGGTCAAGCTCGAGGAGACAACACTTGAGACGAAGGCCGCTTTCAAGGAGCACGGTTGAATTTTGGATAGATGAATTTAAAAAAAATTGTTGAACATCCGCCGCTTTTATTAGGATTCAAATGCATAGTTGAATTGTTATCGATCAATGATTCAAAGTGAAGCTGCATGAGAGACATGTGTTTTAGTTTTATTCTTTTTCATCGAAAGGCGGACATTTGATGCACCGGATTGGATGGTCGACTCCACTACCGCTGTCGACGGACGTATGGGATGTCCGTGTTAATGAACGGCGTTGGAGATGCACTTACACGCTGCCGCCGCACACAAATAGTCATGCTTTACTTTCATCCATCTTAAGATTGGGTTCAGAGAAGTACTAGTCCTCTCTTAGGGGATACACACTGCAAGTGTTCGACTGGTGTAGAAAAACAAATTCCGTCGGCTTGGAGTTAGTTAAACAAACACGCACTTACGTACTTGGTGACCCATCTTCAAACTAGCTAAGCTAGCCATCCTATTCCTAGCCGATGACAATATACAATGCAGGCACGCCTGTGGCTCTGTGATGCCAACAGCTAGCAACAGTGTCTTCTTCTGAATTGTAATCTGCAGCAACTGAGCAACAGAGTCCTCCTCTCCTCTGAATTCCAATGTAGACATCGGCCGGCTGGAATTCATCTGCTAGTCTTGGTCATGGCGCCGCCATTCTAGACCAACGATGCAAATGCGTTGGCAGGTTTGGCGAGTGTGAAAGGCAGGAGCTTGTTTAGTTAGTTTGGCTATGCTTCAGTAAACGTTAAACACATTTTTTGACCTGCTGCACGCTGTCTTCTCTGAAGATGGGAAGACTAATGCGTAGTGCTATTGCTCATTGACTTCCTTTGATTAATCAGTTTTGGTACATAGTAGGGTGTTCTATCCGGCCAAGACCAGACGTGTCAACTAATGCTACGCAGATCGGTGGTTTCTACGGGAGAAAAGCCATTTACGGTACGCACGCACGCTCTCTTTCCAAGGTAGCCAGCGGAACACCGAGAGACCGCCTTTAGCAAAGCAAATCATGACACACACTCTCTCTCTCTTCTCCATTAGCAGATTTGAGCAAATCCGAGGCGGAAAGTCACGGGGGCATGCACTCAATTGCCTCACGATTCGCAAAGTAATTGGATCCCGCATGCAGGGAATAGAAAGTTTCAAGTTTCAATCATTGGAACTTACCATTTTCTATCTAAAACTTATGATTTTTTCACTTGCTTTTACCAAGTTTTATAAATAAAATTGTAAGTTACTTTTTTGTGGTCGTAGGAAAAAACCGGTTATTGTTCGGGCGTACTAAGATTCAAAAGTTAAAACTTAACATTTATTTTCAAAATTCATCAAAATGAATCTTATTAGAAAGTCCTAAGCACGAGAAAATATGAAAATAATACTTAATTTAGACTTCTCATTCAAAAGATATGAATGTTTGAAAATCGGAAGCCAAAAATAAAAGCACGCCCGTGTGACTACGTGCTGTGAAACCTGCGTGCCACAAATCCTCTCCCAAATCCGAGATAACGACAAACCCTCCATACACGCACATAGTTCAGCTTCGAGGGTAGCCAACAACATAACATAAATATATAACACGTTGTACATAAAAGAGTTCACGGTACAACCAACGACACAACATAAAAATATAGGATAAAATATATAAAAAGCCCTAACAGGCAAGACAAGGTTCACGAGACCGGCCGGGCCCTCACCACCATCTTCACCGCGCCTTCTCTCCAGTGCTCCTCCTCCATGCCATCCTCGCCGAGGTAGTAGGGGAGGTTGTGCATACCTTTGCGGGTGGGGAAGATGCTATCGAAGTCCGTGAAGATGTTGTAGGTGGTGAATGCGATGAACTCGCACCCACACCAAAACACTTTGCCGAGAAGGCAGTACGCATCGAATCTGTTGGTGAAGTTGGCGATGAGCCCTATCGTCGGAGTGGTGGAGTTTGTACGCACTTCCTCCAGTCAAAACATCACCGGCGAGCCCGTCGGGAGGTGTGCGTAGCCCGCACCAAGGAACCAATGGGCAAACTCCTTTCCACCCCTCCAGCGTGAGAATGCCCACACACGGAGCGTCGTCTTCACGACAACACCAGCGGGATACCGCCTCTTCGGCACGGTCGGTGGGAGCTGGAAGGTGGAATTGTTGTACTACCTCCTCGGCTGGCTTTGAGAGTGCTCTGGGTTTGGGTGAAGAAGAGAAGGGGGCGGCGCAAATGGATGTGTGGAGAATAGGTGGAGGCGTGGGTGGTTTAAATAGAGAAAGGGGAAGGTAAGGGGAGTGGGACCGGCCGCGCTTTGGATTTGCTACGTTCAAACGAGTGGTGTCAATCGATATGCCACTTTAATTGCCACGTTGAATAGATGAGAGTGGATTGAGGAGACAAGCATGCGAGATGAGACGAACCAGCAACAGCGACCGTCCCTGCGTCCGTGGAGGCTCGCGTGCAGAAAGAGGCCGGTCAGCGTCCGTGGCGGCTCGTGTGAGAAAGAGGGGAGGTCAGCGTATCATGGCGGCGGGCATCAACGCATGCAGGCAGGCTAGCTACGTACATGCATAGCAGGCTCATGTCGTTGCGGCGCGCGCAGGGCCCAACAATTTAACCACGGAACAACGGGTGAACAACGGCACCGTTCGACGCGGCCCCAATTGTCAGGTCCAATGGGAGACATAGTCCAGCACGGCCCCACTCGTCA